GAGCTAACAACATCTTTTCATAATCAAACTAATTTGCTAAATATCAAGTGCAAACGGTGTGTCTAAAACGTTTTTGTGACGGATAAATGCCAGGTTTCGAAAAACGAATATATTATGCTGGTACACGGATTCTACACCTAACTGATAACCTCCCTGTCTTTAATCTATTTGATACCATACTACAGGAACTAGCTTAACCGGTCGGTTAAGTGGACGGTTAACCTAGGTGAGAACCTTCCCAACCGCCCAATTCTAGCTCCGTTTTTCTTGCTTGGGAATGATCGTGAGCCCAAAAACCGCAACTTATGAGCAGAATTTGACCCATAAACGGTGGGACCCGCACTCAAACTTATGGCTACATTTTGGACAGATAGAGACTTTTGGATTCGCAGTCACTGTTCATAATCTTCATCTGATGCCCATGAACATTATGCGCGTTTCAGAAAACTAAAATTCAAGTTATAAAGTCGCATAATTGAGTTTTCGTATTTGTGAATCTGTTGATTATAATTTCCAGTGAGAATAATTAAAATTTTACTTTTTGCTAATAGAATTTTAAATTTAACTGAATGATGTTAGAGCCAGTAAACGAAATAAACAATATTTGAGAGAAGCAGCCATAATTCTCGAATAAACAGTTATGGCTGCTTCTCTCAAATATTGTGAATTTTAAATTCCATTTGATTTTAATTTCATGTGCAAGATATATATTTGTTGCTCCTTTCAATATTTACGACGTCTGAGTATAGTAGAGAGTGGATGCCTCTGTGTATTTTGGCACTAATAATAGAGTACTTTTAAAGCGTTCAATATTTTTAAGTCTCAAATCCAAAATCAATTTAACAGATCCTAAGTAATCTGCTGTAAGATTTGCATCGACAGCTTGCTATCCATTTTACCATGATCTTTTTAGATTAGATAATTAGATCTTTTCTCCCCTCACATCAGAGATGTCGAAAACGTTTCCTCTTTGAGAATGGCTTAACATTCTTGTATCTGGTTGATCGCAGTCATTCACAATGGTGCAGACCATCTTAGAATAAACATTGCGGTATGAAATACTGAGAAAAATTTTCCCCAGTCAAATTCATTATTTTCTGCAATATTGTGAGGTCCAATGGGAAATAGTGCTTCGTAGTGGTTAGAAATATGCTGGATTTCTGCACGATATTCCGCTATAAAGAAGTGCTGACAGAAAGTGCTGACAGAAATGCTGACTCGATTTGTATAATAATTTTTCTAAAGTAAAACATATGTTTGTAAATTTCTCTCTATGATGAAAAGACGCAGTAAAACACGCTCTACAAAATGGCTTTTGATTGACCCCGCTAGCTCAAAAAGGAAGAAAGTTATAGACTTAGAAATGTGCTTCACAAAACAGAAAAACTAACGGTGAACGCGATCTCGATATTTTTGCTTGAACTCCTGTTTCTTAGATCCCCTAAAACAAATTATTTTTTTAATAGAAGCGCCATACAATGCTCTACAAAATCATACCTAAACTTTACTTTCAGAACTTCAATCAAGAAAACTAAGCAAATTATACGCGAGACGGAAAAAAGAAAACTTTGTAAATTCAGTATTTTTTTCGACTCGAACTTTTTCTTCTCCTGTTATTTCCGTAAAAAAGCTTAGCAAAAGTGAGAACCCAGTTTATGTTTGCTACTTTCGAATGCACTCTTTCTCGTGGTCTGTAAAAAATTTCTCTCAGAGTGTATGGTGTACTCGAGAATGAAGTTTTAAAAATTGAAAACCTCCGTTTCCAACAATGTACCTAAACAAGAAATAGAAAACGTGATCGAAGTTTGATTTTGCAGTTAGGTAGAAAAGAGCAATCATTTCTGATCAAAACAGAACAAACCCGATCGATTTTTGTTTTGATGGAGTGACGAGACTTTCACTGAAAGCACCACCATAAGAAGAGAGTTCATGGTTAATTTTTCTTTTTTGTGAGGCACATTTCTAAGTCTATAACTTTCTTACTATATGAGCTAGCGGGGTCAATCAAAAGCCATTTTGTAGAGCGTGTTTTACTGCGTCTTTTCATCATAGAGAGAAATTTACAAACATATGTTTTACTTTAGAAAAATTATTATACAAATCGAGTCAGGACTTCAGGGCCACCCTTTATTTCGATTTTGTTCTATTTTCTATGTCAATTATCTTTTACCGTGATAGAGAGCGCACGTCTCTGCGTATTATAGTAGTGTTAGTTGTATGCTTCTAGAGTGTGTAATTGTCTGTTTGAAGATGATAGAATGCATGAATACGTGTAGATAATAAATTATTTACGTTTTCATAGTATAGAAGATCATCAAAATACAATAAAATCGTACAAATAGCTTACAACAAGTTACTGATGTATAGCATCAAATTATACAGGCTTACTGAGATACTTAAAAATATCGCGTCAAACAGTATTTCAAATGACCACATTTAACATCACGATCAAGTACAATACAAAACAATATTAAAATCATATAGTCTATTTGATAAGTACAGAGGTATTCAAGCATATGTAATAAAAAAGAATAGCATAAAAAAAGCAATATTTTGTTATACTCTTAAACACAAATCGATTATCCTAAATTTAAGCAACTTAAAATAAAATCTTTAAAATCACAGCATCCACGATGTAATTTACCACCAAATGATTTAAATTGTAATTTATCAATATTCCACCAATTTAATTCATAAACTTGTGATTTTGTATATTCTAATGTAACAGTTTTTGTATAAATTTCTTTTTGATTACGAAAACCTGTGATTGTTAACTGTAAACTATCGTAGAATGCTGCATTTGCTTCAAATGTAAAAATATTAAATGTTGCGTGCGGTAGAGAAGACATTGACATTGGTCGTCCACCTTCATTAAATGCAATGTAATGCCCATGTCGAAATGCATTTGGATATCCACTATTTTTATTTGCATATGATTCGTGTAAATACCAAAAATTATCCCAATTTAAACCATGATAACCATTTGGTATTCTTCCATAGGTTGTTGTTGCATTTGCAACATCATTAAATGTGATCAATTTTCGTTTAATGACATCTAAAAATTTAGAAAAAAAATGTGTACAACTAAATTAGAATGAATAAAGATTGTTATTTTAAATTCTAGCGCTCTGTAATTCGAACTTTTCACATAATCTTTATCTTTGAATTGTGTTAATAGTGAAAGAGTATTTATCTGACCATGATCCAGACATTTACAGGTATCATATGACATTTTTCGTATATCTCTAACTCTAAAGCATTGGAAATCACTCATGCTACACTCTATGCCTATACATTCTAAATTACTGCGTTGGTTTCATCTCGATTGTCATCTCGTGATAAATTCAAAATTTTGTGTACATTGTGTACTTGATGACTCGTAGAGAAGATTGTGGGATAAATTATTTGCTGAGTTTTACTTTTCTTTGTTTGATATCCTCACTCTATATACAGTTAGTGGAAAAAGTGTTCGTACGATGAAGGACAAAACATTCTAATGAGCTCCTGAAGGAAGAAGAATAGAAAAAAAAATTTTTTGCCATTCGAGAGCCCTAAGTTTCAGTTTTATTCCTTGTTAATAGAAAGTTTTTATCTCAAATTCTTCAATCAAAAGATATTATCTTAGAGCTTTGATCTGTCTTTTGCGATAAATAAGTGTTCGTAGTACGAACACTTATTTATGAAAAAGTGGTCGTACGACCACTTTTTCATTTCAATTTTGATATTTATTGAACAGATAGAATTTGTATTTATATATCATTCGAAACAGCAAGTGTTTCAGTGTTTATTTCAAGGATAAATTTCTTTAAAGATAACAGGTTTGCAGAGACAAAAATTCTCTACAAGATGAACTATTTTCTCTTTAAAAATAATTAACCACTGATGATTCTATTCAGCATACTTTTACATAACATAGAACAATATTTTTTCTCGCTTCGTTTTGCTTTCTTTTTGTATTGGCAGAATATTTATCTAAAAGTATGCTGAATAGAATAACGTACATCTCATTAGTCGTTAATTATTTTTAAAGGTGAAATAGTTCATATTGCAGAAAACTTTTTGTCCCTGCAAATCTGCTCTCTTTAAAAAAATTTACACTTTAATTAAACACTAAAAATAAGCAGATTAGTGAATTATACTCAGAATAACGTCAGTGAGCGGAAAACGTAAATTGATTTAAACGACATGATGTGACTAGTTAATTTTAATTAAATCATAAGAGATACATGCAGTTTTTCAAGCGCTATCCAATGGTATATTTAAAATTATCTTTTGATAAATTTCAGGTATACCAACTCATTTTTTCTGTAAAATGAACGGTTTTCATTCTGAGCTATAATTATTTTTGATAATTTTTGTTTTCATCTTGTAGCCAAAACTTTGCTCTTTCCAATGGTATATAAATAAAAATTCTATCTGTTCGATAAGTATCAAAATAGAAGTGAAAAAGTGATCGTACGCACACTTATTTACCGCAAAAAAACAGATCAAAGTTTTAAGATATAATCTTTTGATTGAAGAACTTAAGATAAGAACGTTCCATTAACAAGGAATAAAACTGAAACTTAGGGCTATCGAATGATAAAAAAAGTACTTTTTTTATTCTTCTTTCTTTCGGAGAGAATGGCGTTAGAATGTTTTGTCCTTCATCGTACGAACACTTTTTCCACTAACTGTACATCCACAACAATTTTTTTTATTCTCCCGAAGTATTTGAAACTGAAATATTCTAGTCTTTGCTACAAACTCGAAGTTCTTCCATCTTTTTCGAAGAATTTTAAGAAGTTTTTTTCTGAAATACTTCCGAAAAATAATAAGCAAAACATATCTGCAAAAGGTTTCTTGAAAAGCATCGTTTCGTCAATATATTCTTCTATATTAGAAACTAATTAAAAACAAAAAGACGAAAGAAAATAAATAGTCGTACGAAAAAAGGCGTATGAGGTGATTCGAAGACCTAGTAAAAAGATTAAAGAGGACTTTAAGAATGGAAATAGTCGAAAGACGAAGACTATAGAAATCTTTTTTCTCAAACCCCCTTACAGTCTACAAAGAAGTCTGTGAAGGTCACTACTTCAATTTTTCAACAAAGCTTGCACGAATACTCTTTATAACATTTTACGGATGACAAATAGTTGTAATTAAAATAATAAACAGAACTCGTCATCTTTATGCCAAAATTCATCAAATTCGCGTTGCTTTTTTTTATTAAAAATAATAGACAACTACGCTATGTCGGCTTTAGATTGGAAATATTTTGTGTCCACAGATAGTAATCATAAACATAAGAAAAATGTCAAATTTCGTACAAAGCATTAAAATATCTGACAATGACATGCACACTTTGAAAATAGTAGCTCGTGGATGCCTTTAGCACAGTGAATGAATATAAGTGTAATCTGAAACAGATGAAGGGCAATCTTAAGTAACACTCTCGTAAGAACTAGAGCAAAGATCACACAAAAATGACTTTTCGAAAATTTTTCCAAGTTTATTAACGTCATGACTAGGATGCGTCAAATCAAAAAAAGACCGGATGAGAGTACCCTCGAACTCTAATTAAGCAAAATATTTAGATGCTCAGACGCTAAAAAAAGATTCAGGAAACTGCCAAAAGATTATAAAAAAGCCTAGCAAGTTTCTTGTAGTATTCTCGAATAGGAAGCGTGCAATAATTAAGAGCTTTAGGAGCAGAGAGAAGGACTCTGTGGTATGACAATTACTAGGTGAGGCTTAAAAATGAAGGACTTCGAAGGCGTCCAAAAAACACGTCACTTCGAATACTGCGAACGGAACAACAAGAGTTCAGATCATCAAGATGCTGAAATGAAAATAATTCAGAGTATCTGTTTTTTTATCATACGACACTTACACTCATTTTCTACGAAGATATGACATACCTGCCATTTGTTGTTTCAAATTTTTTACGCTACCACTAATAGTTTCATCTACTTTTGATTCTATCTCTTGAATTTGTTGCTGTTGTTTAACATAATTAGCACTTAGTTTTTGTTCAGTTGAATCCTGTTGCAATTTCATTTTCTGATCTATTGTTTCATGTATTGATTTTACTTGTTGTTGTTGTTTGAAAATCATTGTATTTATTTTCTGATCTGTTTTATCTGTTTTCTCTTGAAGTTGACGCTGTTGCTTGTCGGCGACGGCATTTAATTTTTGCTGTTGTTCATATACTATGGTATTTAATTTTTGATCTGTTTTATTAGCCGCTAATTGTGATTGCTGTTGCTGTTTATCAACGACAGCATTTAGCTTTTGTTCAAATAAGTCGTGTTGCATTTTTAAGTTCTCATCTACTGAGTTGAACTGTTGCTGGTGCTTGTCCACGACGGAGTTTAGATTTTGTTCAAATAAGTCGTGCTGCAGATTTAAGGTTTCATTTACTGAGTTGAACTGTTGCTGGTGCTTGTCCACGATGGAATTTAGATTTTGTTCAAATAAGTCGTGCTGCAATTTTAAGTTTTCATCTACTGAGTTGAACTGTTGTCGGTGCTTGTCCACGACGGACTTTAACTTTTGTTCAAATAAGTCGTGTTGCAATTTTAAATTTTCATCTACTGAGTTGAACTGTTGTTGATGCTTATCAACAATGGAATTTAGCTTTTGTTCAAATAAGTCGCGTTGTACGTTTAAGTTTTCATCTATTGCATTTAATTGTTGTTGTTGTTTTTGAAGAATTGAACTGAATGTGGCTTGTCGTAGTTTAGTTGATTGTTCCATTATGCTCTGCATTGAAAGCATTTGCTGTCTCAAACATTGAATTTTTGTATGTTGTTGTTGTTTCATATCGTCACGTTGATAAAGTGTACGGCATTCTAGACATCTTAAAACGACTTCTTCATATTCTTCTAAATGTTGCTGAACATCATAATACTGTTTGTGATATTGTTGATAATCACAATTTTGTTCGTGATCTTCTAGTAAGTCATACGAAACAATCGCAGAACACCCGTAAGATTTGTAGGAACATTCTATTTGTAATTTGGATAATAATGTCAGTATAACAGATGAACATTGTTGTTCTTCGTATTCACAGCCAAATGGGCAATTATTTGTTTGTAGATCATTCAGTCGTTGATGAATGCATTGATAACAAAATGAGTTCTTACATGTCTTGCATGTAACAGGTTTCCATAACAGATGATGACATATTGAACATAATACAATATCTTTATTAATATCATCTTGACTAATACGATCTGTTGTAATGAAATATTTACTACTTGCCATATATTATACACGATTTATTCATCAATATAGAAAAACACAAACCACAATAATTCTTTTTCTATTTTCATGGTAATGACACCAAAACCGTGAAAGTGTAATATGTAATATACCTGTATACTATATTCATATATATATGTAGTTTAATAACTAAAGCCATTTATCTTCTTTCTTTCTTCTATAAAATTAAATTTGACTCTATTTTCTACTACCTATATCCAATCATCTGGGAAATTGAAAAAGAAAAAAAACCAATTTGTCAAGTACATTCGAAACATGTATATATATATTATATATATATATATATATATACTTATAGTGAACTCTCTTGATTAGAAAAATAAAATGGATACTTTGTTTTTCATTAAGTGAATAAAACGCAATCGCCTATATTTGACGAAAAATGTGACAAATCACCTTAGAACAGAATCTTTGTAACATTCACTACAATGTTTTAGGGCACTATGACTTGCAGATAATTTAAGATAGTTATTTATCTAAAATTGACTATACAAATCCGTAGTTAACAGATCTAGGACGGAAATTGACTAATGGAGGAGAACTGAACTCAAATAGATGCAGAACTGTCAAATTCAAAACAAGATTTTTGAGTGGTTGCATCAAATTTTGTCCCACGGCATTGTAAATCTAAACGAATTAAAGGGTGGTCCAAAAGTTTTGACCCCTCTCTGTAAATGGACGTTATCTATATGAACACATCTATAGTTAGTTGGTTATAATATATCATTGTGTAGATAAACATTAGAGCTATCGTCTAAAAAAACCTTTTGAATTGCGTACATGTGATGCAAAGTTATGGTCATTTTATTAATTTTGAAAAAACATTTTCATCGAAAATGCAACATTTTGGGCATCAGCCGGAAATTGCCGTCGCCGCGGGTTCTTCTTCAGCTGATTTCTTCGACGCACAGCTGTACACAGCAAGGCGTGGAGCTTCGTTCGCATTTTTGTATATTTCCGGTTAAGTATGTGGATGTTGGTGCACCTATCTGCTTACACATAATTTAAGGTTTTTCTTTTTCTTTTTACACTTTAACGATCTTAAATTTTTGCGTTTGTGGGCTTGCCTATTGTACTTTAAGAATCTTATACTCGCACACTTTAAAACCCTCGCACTTTCACACTTCAACACTGTTGTTCTTGTACACTTTTACACTCTTACACTTTAACACTTTAACACTTTTGCTCTTGTACACTTTTACACTCTTACACTTTAACACTTTTGCTCTTGCACACTTTTACACTTGTAGTCTATAACAGGCTATGAGCCGAAAACCGTTCATCCCCACCATAACGTCTGCAACATCCAAACGTGCTGAACTTCGACTTTGTGTATGGTGACTCACGCTCACACTGCCACCCCTCCCTCCAACATCCAACATTAGCACCATCACACCTGGATGGTAACATGGTTAAAGGACAAAAAGCAAGCCTTCAAAGGCAAAAGTGTTAAAGTGTAAAAGTGTACAAGAGCAACAGAGTTAAAGTGTTAAAGTGTACCAGTGCTAAAAGAACCTATAAACGAACCTCAAAGCGAACTCGCGGCGATGGCGATTTCCGGATCTTATGTCCTTTTGTGCTAACGCGAAAAAATCAAATGTTTCGTTTTTTTTCGGTGAATTATGGTGAAATCGTCTTCTGTACCAGAAAACCATTTCAAAGCGAATGTATGATACACGAAAAGAAAGACAACCCTTCGAAGCATAAGAACATAGGTTTTGCTTACCACTCGATACAAACCTATGAGCTTTGCAACTTTTATACACGAACATTTTTGTTTCTTTTAAAATGTAAGATGAAAATGTTTTTTCAAAATTAATAAAATGACCATAACTTTGCATCACATGTACGCAATTCAAAAGGTTTTTTTAGACGATAGCTCTAATGTTTATCTACACAATGATATATTATAACCAACTAACTATAGATGTGTTCATATAGATAACGTCCATTTACAGAGAGGGGTTAAAACTTTTGGACCACCCTTTAGATCTGTCTTGATCACGTCTATCATATCATAATAGTTTTCATCGATGAAATTAGACAAGGTCGACTGCTTCAAAATCTGCTGCTTTTTCCTGTCATGGATTGGTCATAAAAACTTTTGCTTCCATCTTAGTTCCCGAAATTCATCGTAGAATGAGTAGCCTAGCTTTCCGCCACGTTTGGCTTTCCCGAACTCCTCAAAATAACCATTCGAGAAGATATCTGACAATTTATGAGCGGTTACATATCTCAGATACCCAATTTTTTTCATATAATTGTGGACATTTCATTTGCTTATATTAAAATATCTTAATGTCAATATATTAGAACACTCCAAATTTCTCAAAGCTGGTCGGTTTCGACAAATCTCAGCCACTATGTATAAGGTGGTGTTTTCATATTATTGATTTTGAAATTCTTCACCGTTAAAAATGATTGAATTAAAATCAACAGCTTTATCGAAAAAGCCTTGCCTCTTTTAAAGTATGATTGAAAAAACATTAATTTTTTCAGCAACGGTGCAATATTAAAAAAGTGATGTATACCTTTTTTCTGCTTCCCTGACGATTGTAACCAAATCAAAATAATGCCCTATTATCTTAATTAGAAAAAGTAGATAATTTAGCAAAATACTCTATAACAGTTCTGTTCCTGTTTACGACTTGTCTAGGCCCACTTCTTTCGCTCATTTTCAAAAAAATACTGCAGTAAAGCTACAAACTAACCCAAAATCACACAACCAGTTAATTAAGTAGATTAAACATTTCTGAGTAGAGGTCAAAAATCGAAAAAACGAACTGACTCTTTCTTGGAAATGATTTTTTGAAGTCATCTTTCGAGATAATAATTTCCAACTATACTTTTCTGAATCAGCGTGAAAAGCTGACCTAGAAAAGAGCTTTTTGGTTATCCCCGAGATAAGCACTAGTCGGCCATAGAGGTCCATATAACGAAGTATCTGACACTGCTTAGCTAGGCTTCCTAGAGATAGTTTTAGTTGTTTCTTGCTTTAAAAGCTAAATTTTCAGTTTAGCGTAGTATGCCGATTAAACATTTGGACTCAGCACACTCCATTACCTATACTTACTATTTTTTGGTAATAAAACTGAAAAAAAAAACGCAAAATCTTTTTACTCTGTATTTCAGGTTTCATATAGAACCGCCTCAAAACTCTCACAAATACACTCAAAATAAGTCTTTTTATAGATTTTGCGATATGCTCTTTCACTTGGACAGATCAGATAATTTTTTTGGCTTAAAACGCTTTTGGACCTGAAAACTTGGGCTTGGGCTTTCCAGGAAACGACCTCTGGAGACACATCCGCCCAAATAGTTGTCATATTCGGATTCAGTATAGCACGATTACCTATCGTGCACTAGGTTTCGCTAAAAAAGCGATTAGTAAGCATTGTTTGAATTGATTGAGAATTCCATGTGTAGTAAAAGAGAATCAAAAACGATAATACTAAGCTACTGTTGGCCTGAAGTTTTGATAACGAAATTAACGACTAAATATATCGTTGCTACCGACAGTGAGCCCTATTTCTCGTTGATAGAAAAAAAAGTGAACGCTGCGAGCAGGATTTGAACCTACGCGGGAAGATCCCATCAGATTTCTAGTCTGACGCCTTAACCACTCGGCCATCGCAGCACATTACACTTTATTCA